TTGCTCTCAAATTGCTCTTAGTTTGTTACACCCCTGTCGAATTGCAATATAATTTAATCTTAGAACAAATTCAAGGCGGGTTTGTTCGGAGTTTCTAAAATAAACAAACAAGACAGCGCCTTCTAAGACTGAGTGGATTTCACTTTAATGTCCAATTCGCCGAAATTTGAAATAATGCCACTTTAAAGAGCACAACTTTTTTCCATGTTTTAAAGAAAAGCGAAAAATTGAGTGAACAAATTTTCGCAAACCATAATTCATTTGATTCTCTGTCCTTGACAATATTTTTAGAGAAATCAACCATTCGATTCATGCGACTCCATTCTGGCATATTAAGTAGTTTTTGGTTTTTCTTTTAGTTTTTCAAAAGACTTTGTCAAACATTTCGAATTTCTCTGAGCCAAAATGATCATAATTGGCTAAAATTTCTGTACTGCTAGCATTTTTTGGAAATGAAAGCAGTTTTGAGCAGTTTCTGGAAAATTTTCACAAAAAATGTGTTTTTCTTTTGAGCGATCGTTGCATCCTCAAAATTGGTATAATGCTGCTAAAGGCGTTATCAAAAATTTGGCAACCAGATTTGAAGGCAGGGTGATGGGGTGGTCGTTTCATCGCCCCTACCCCTAGGCTTGCTATTCGCTATTCGAGTCTCAATGAGTGCATTGCTAAAAACTTTTCTCATTTAAAAAACATGAGAACGGATTAAGCGCTTAAACAAAACTAAGGATTAAGCGCTTAAACAAAACTAAAGAAAAGATAAAACTCGGAACAACGTTTTATCAGTTTTTTAAATTCGAACTAAATAGTAACTTCAATAATTTGAGAAATTGAAGGCAAAAAACTTTCAGAATCAGTAGTTTGACTTCGTTTCCTATTTGTGTTAAGTAACGTAATTAGCTACTATTAGACAGCTACAGGAATAATTAGCCCACCTCAAATCAATTTGGTATGATTTTTCAGCCCGAGTTCATCGGTGGGGCTAAAGTGTTTTGTGCTTACGCGTTCAAGGGTCAAAAGAAGGTTCTCTGCTGTGGCAGAATTTGTTTTTTTTTCAGTTTTAGATGATGGAGTATAACCTTAATTTAACCAATAAACAGGCCACGAAACACAAATATAAAGCGAAACACAAAAAAGTTACAAGGAAAAAAAGGTTTGTCATAAATTTCTCTAGAATGGAAAAACTGCTTATCATACCATTCCAATGTTTGCAAAAAAAGCCTAACATGTGATTTTCATAAAATAATTTTTATTCAAGGGAATTGTAAGAAAATGTATGATAAGCAATTTTTGTCAACCTGATTTGTTTTAAAATATATGTGCCTTATACAATTTTGTACCCATCTATATTGGTTTATTCAAACGTTTGTTGAAATCTAATATCGCAATTGCCGAAAATGGCCTGATTAAAAAGCCACCCAAGCATAAATATTTCGTCTTTTTCTTCGAAAATTGTAACAGAAACTTTCAGGTTTTCGAAAAATAAGTTTTTTGTCCCATGATTTGATTTCTGATAAGCGCTTGAGAACTATTGGAATGAATAAACTTGTTTAACGCTAAATGAAGTAATTTAATTTTTTTTTTCAAAGTATACTTTGAATTTTTTCAAAAATGCCTTGAACGTTTTTTGTAGGAAAAGTCGATGAAAAGCTATTCATTCGGTGGTGTTTTTCTCTGCAAGCAATACCAGTTGTCAAAATTGTCGGAAGCGTTGAAACTAAACGATCGGAGGTCTTTCAAACCTCCTTAGATATATTCAGACCTCTTTAGAGCGTTGAAAAGTAAGGTACTTTGTGTGGCCTCTATTATGGCTGAGGAATTATCCCACGTTGACTGAAAATGCTTATCATACACTCCCATAGTATGGAAAAAATGCTTATCATACAATTTCATACAACTGCATACAATAAGAAACATTGTATGAAAATCACATGATAAGCCTTTTATCCATACAATGGAATTGTATGATGAGCACTTTTTGCATACTCTGGAACTGTATGACAAGCATTTTTTCTTTGTGTTTTTTGGTTTGTGCTTTATAATTGTGTTTCATCCTAAACACAAACACCAAAATTTTTCTGAAATGAGAAAACTAACAGATTAAACGGCATTGAATTGCAGATATAACTAACTTTTTGGTAGATGCTTAATAAAATTTTTTGTTTATAGCTACGATGCCTCTGTTTTGAAAAACTCAAACGTTGAAAATGGTGGCCTGTTTTTGGGTTAGATTTAGGTTATATCTTAAGAGAACCTTCAATGTGACCATTGATTTTTTCATATATAAAGACCACGTTATAAGCAAAAATTTTAAAATTTTACAGGCAAAAAATTTTGGAGAAAGTTTTTTGTTCGTAATCTTGATTAAGCGAATAGGATGAGTACCAAAAAATAATTTTTCCTCAGATTTGAAATTTTTTGTGGGAAAATGCTTATCAAACAGTTTTCATAAATGGAAGTCCTATGATATGCAATTTTTCCATAGAAATCACGCATGGAATTGTATGACAAGCATTTTTTAAATAGAATTTGACGATAAGCATTTTTGTCGTTTGGAGCCAAATCGAGACATTAGACTTAAAAAAATCTGTTACAAATGTATTCATGAAACCCATTTTGAACATTCCTTAACTCCCATGAATAAAATGATTTGCGCTTACATGTTGAGCGTTACAGATACATGTCGGTGAGTTGCGCTTGAATTAACTCAACATAATGAAAAAACAAGCAATTTTCCAGCCCATATTTACAATCTTTCGTCGTGACTGAAGTTTTGCTTTGATCCTTATCAGAGTTGAAATATCTAGAACAAGCAAAATCTTATTCATTCGTCCCATTTTTCTGAGTACTGAGCAACAAAAAAAAATCATTTTCAAACCCTAGTTTCTCTTATTCATTTTGAAAAAATGTACAGGTGGTGGAGGAATTTTGCTAGAAGGTATATTTTTCCCAAATAGTATAATTTACCCCAAGTGGGCCCGGAATATTAATGAGTAACCAAATTTTTGTGCTCGGGTTGGGTTTTTTCTTCAGACAAGTTTCGACATTTTAACTAGCCATTTTTGACGGAACTGTTTTTTTTAGTTTTTATGATATGAACGTGGATTTCTTATCAACCGCTCTTTTTTTCATCGCTCTTTTTTCTAAGCTCTGATAAAAAATGAAGTGTTCAAAAAACACTTCTGTGGGTTTTCCTTGCGGCTCGAATCACGACTAGAATCACCTAAAAGTGCCTCATTGAATTTCCACATCAGATGTGTATCGTCACAACTGGATTTGCGTGGAAAAAAACACTCCAAAATGGAAAGTAGTCTGGTTTCCGCTACATTAAAAATCGAGGTCTTCTAACTCGATGACAAAGGAAGCTTGGAAACCTAACGGTTTTTTCGTGCCTTTTGCAATATAACAATAGATTTTCCTTATTGTTATTAAATTTTGACATAATCTTGATGTAAATTCGACTCATGGTATGGCAGTTTGTCGAACATGCGCCTGTTTTTCATTTGATTACTGCATTGACGTAAAGCATCAGTATTGGGTTAATATCAATCACAATAAATTGTTTCTAACCAAATGTTACCATTATAGGGTTCATTATTTTCTTGCTTACAAAAGTATAGGCTGGGAGGACGCCATTAGGCTGCAAGAGACAGTTTTTGGGTGCCTCAAGTCAGAAAAAAGATAGACTGTTTTGCAAATGCAATTTTTCTGTTTTTATGCTTCTATATTTTTGATAAAGATCGAGATCTAGAAATCGAAAAAAAAAAACACTTTCATTTTCAATTTAAGATTAATGAGCCGCCTATTACTTCGATCTTCAAAAAACTTTGAACGCCTCTGTTATCCAACAAATAGCTTTCCAGGAATTTGCTCCAACGTGGCTGTTCTGATAAAATTTAGCCAATTTGTGTTTTCATTGATGTAGCCACTCAAAAAATGACAAAAAATTGAACTATCAAAATTTTCAGCTCTGAGAAGAGTGCAAATTGAGGTTATTTACTATTTATTTTTTACTAGCTTTAGTTCTACAAAAATTAGAGCAGATTTTTGCTTCACTCAGTTATAAACATGCGATCTGTATGTTATTAATACAGTGGCGCGCGTAGAAATCTTCGGGAGGGGTGTTTGTTGAAATTTAACTTTGCTTAGAGCTAGCAATTTTGAGTTTCCTTAGTTTTGCAAAAACTCTAGAGGGACTTTATTGAATCAAAAGTTTGGTTTTTGGGTTGGTCAGCCAGTAAATTACTATCAAAGGGGGGATTTTTGAAAAAAAAAGGATAACATAAGTTGATACCCTACTTTGTACACCCTAATAATAACTCACAAAAATTTAAGCCTTATGTCTATGCCGCTTCTTTTTCTTGTTCTGACAAATAATTAATGTCAAAAAGTAGAGTACCCGTTTTGTTTGATGCTTCTTTTGCTTTCATTCATTGACGAACTTGAAAGGCGGGGGCGGGGCGGATGCCCCTCTTTCTTTATGGATTCGACCTTTTGACCAACCAAAGGGTCATCCATTTAGTACTATTTTAGGACATCCATTTTAAGCTGACCACAGTCAAAAGTTTTTCCTAAGGTGTCTCCGACATCAAAATAGATTAAAATTGACACTGTAGCACTCGCCTAAAAAGCGCAACTTTTTGGTGAAAACTTTCCAAAAAACGCCTCAAGTTTTTTTTTCGCAATGCCAAAAATTCGGTAAAAATTGGGTCAGTATAGTAATTTGAAGCGCACTGCAATAATTGCTCAATCGGTCAAGTTTCTTTCAACGGAGTCTAAAACGCATTTTTGGAACATTTAAACGGGGTAAAATGAAGCGTTTGTATTGTTTCGACAAAAAATATACACCTCCCCCCCCCTTATCGAGCAGCCAACAAAATTTTTGGCAGGTGTAGCCACTTTCTGAATGTTTAGCCTTTAACCACCAAAAAAAACACCCTCAACCATCCCTCCCCCACCTAAATTTGTCCGTTTTGATGTGTTGAGCAGTTTGATATTTTTAGACGTTTGGCGTGTGCTTTACGTACACCGCAATAGCCATCCAAATGTCGCCCTTGTTAGAATCGAAGACTGTCGATTCCTCTTCCGAACTCCCTCCTTCTGAGTTGGGATAAAAGACGAGACCGGAATAGTTATTCGAATGTAGCCTCTCAAAGTATCAGTTCTTGTTTCGTAAGTATGCTATATGTTGGTAGATTGTTAGACTGTAGCATGATTGGAATTGTTTGTTTGACCTCAAGGTGCAATTTATCTCCCAAATCTGATTTTTAAATCCAAGTTGAAAGTTTAAAGTAATTTGAAATTGATCAACATGAATTAAATAGCCATTAATTTGAGAAAAAAACTGAAGGGTTTGAACAATAACGGGTTTGGTATTTATTACCATCTGTTAACTGACAAAATATATGCCATAATTTAGTATTAACTGTCAAAATAATTTGTAATGTTGTATATTCCCATTTACATCTTGATCCTTTCAGGCATATATTTTCGTATTGATAATCTATAGTTCAATTTTTGCTCATTTTGGCTATCATGTTTGAGAAAGTTCAAGTTACAAATCAGTTGTTTCACCAATGTATTAAGGAATCTCACCTGGGGGGGGGGGGGGGGGGGGGGGGGAATAATCTTTGAGAGAGCAACCATTTTCCTTTTTTGTCAATTGCACTCCCACGTGTGCTTCGTAATTCGTGTCTACACCCTAATCCAAAAACTAAGTTAGGATTCCTTAATTTCAAATTTCATATCAGACTCAGGACAACTATTACCTTTTGTGTCTATCAATTTCCGAAATGTGTCGGAAATTGACAAAAAATTGTTTATTTTGCAATAAGGATAAAATTTAAAGTTGATCTATTTATATAGTTGCATTTTTTGGCCCTATTTTATGCTAGCGAAAATTGTAATTGAAATTAATACAAAAATGTTGGAAACATCAAAATGGTAAACGTGCTTGTTGATCCTTGTTTGGTTCACGAAGTTTCTTACAGTGATCGAAAAAGTTATTTATCGATTGAAACAGGGGAAGTTTTCTGACAGGTTGGACACCTTCAGAAAAAATACAGCTGATTGACCATACACTGGTGTTGTAAAACAGTATCAAAAGAGAAATGAGGGGATCTTTTGGAATTATTTGGTAACTAGACTTGACAGGGACTGTCACCTTGCAACTTTAATCCTTGCGCGCAGATGTAAGCAACAGCTCAAATCAATCAATAACCTGGCCTGCTTTTCAAAAAAAAACATTTTGATGTGAAAACATTTTGAGAGCATTTTTCCCAAATACTGATCTCTTTGCTTCCTTCAACAGAGCTTAGGAGGGATTTGAACTCTTTCATTTTGTTATTCAACGACCTTTGCGTCCAACGTACCAGCGGTAATAAAAAAGAAAACGCCCTTTTTTATGCGCACCTTTTTGCTTCAAGTCAAATTCGTTTTTGGTGCACTTAACGTAATCATTCAATTGAGTTAACAGAAAAAGAAAACTGTTTTATTTGAGTTTTTTTATAATTGGTTCTCATCACAAGTCGATTTTAATAAATTACAAATTATCAATGCATGCATCAGGTTTCATCAATACATGAAACCACTTAGTTTTTCAAAAATGGTGCATTTCATTTATTTTTGTCCGGAACCTGTTCTTACGATATTTTGATGCGATGTCGTCAAAAACAATTAAAAAACAGTTTTTTCATGTTTTTGAGTCAAATAGGTAAAAAGAGACTTGCAAGACAATGGAAAATTAGAAATACAAAATGATGGAATCCGAAATTACATTTTTTGGTTTCTATGAAATCTACGCTTCGATGGTCTAGATGTCATCTTCTAAAGAAAAAATCTTTCTCGGAGAGAAGATGTGTCTCGAATACCCAATAATCTCTTAAAATGTCCCAAATAGTTATACTTCATCCCATTTAAGCCCCTGTATTTGGCCCAGTGCTGTCACCAATTCCCTAACTTAATCTTCCCTTTTTACGCTTGGTTCGATTATTGCATAAAGGCTAGCTTGCATAATCCCGTGTCCATGACTTTGAGCCATTATAATGATATGGGTGAACTTTTTCAGGTTACTCTGCTTCAGGTTATGATCGTAAATTGGACTGACTGCTATAAACTTTGCTTAAACTTATCTTAAAGATGCCTTTTGCAACTAACCAAAAACTTGTATCAGTTATAATATTAAACAATAGAAATCAAATTGAAACCCAAAAAATCCAAAAGAGTTTGAAAACCAAAAAACCTCAAATTCGAAATCCAAAAATCATCCAAAAAGCAGGTGAACAAAGAAAATGAACAAATTCAAAAAAAAAAGATTGAAGTAACAAAAATTGTAAAATTTGTATCGTGAAAAGTGTAAAATTTGCGATATGAGTTTTGCGAAATAAACAAGTTTTTGTCTTCCAGCAGGATCAAATTATGGAATACGTGTAATTATATTTGCTCCTACGCATAACTGTTTGTCACAATTTTAAAACTGCCATTAGTGTCATGAGGATTTCGATATTCAATGGGGACTTTTCAAAGCCAAAACCTAGCTACTGCCTATTTTAATTTAACTGCATGTAATAACTGTTTAATTTTATCAGAACAAGCTATTTTTTTTTCGTTTGGCTTCAAATTCGTTTATCGAGACGCATAAATAGATAAGCCTTTAGTCGCAAAAAACACGATAAAAATCAGGGGCGGCGGGTTAGTCCTCGCCGATTTGACAATCTCCTCGCCCAAAGGGTCCCCCTTTTGGTACTATTTTACGACATCCTTTTTCAGCCGACCGTACCTAAAATTTTTCTAGAGGCGCCATCGGTACCAATTTATACTAGTTTTGAGGAAAACACGCGCATGAAAGCTGCAATTTTTGGTCAACAACTTCCAGAAAGTGCCCAAAAATGGTATTTTAACCGGTTTTTGTTTTCAAAAATTTGATTGTAGCGCGAAAATTTTTGTCAAAATAGGGTATTTAGCATAGTGTTTTAAAAGGGCTCTATTTAGTCAACATAAAAAGGTCCCTCCTTATCGAAAAAATAGCATATCCACCACTGTTAAAATAACTTAAAATAACTCTGTAAAGAATTAGGTTAAATTTTGCGAAAATTTGGTCATCTTTGTACCACAAAGAATGACTGACAAACTGAAAAGGAGACTAAAAGACATGTTATGCTTCTGTGGGATGAGATCGTGTTATGCTACGTCTTCCAAAATAATGAAAAATGTAGTTTTTTTGGGAGTCAAACATGCGGTTGTGAAGCAATGAAAAAGATATCCAAAGTCTAAATATATCCAAAGTCGTTGAGCCCGTCGAAAAATAAAATCGAGTTCAGCAAAGAAAATCGAGTACTGTTTTCATTCGCTCGGATTTGTGATTTGTGAAACCACTTACCCGAGTTTATTCAATGCGTTAGAAAAAATTAATGAATAAGCTGTGGGAAATGACATCATACCGTTGAAAGCAAGAAAGTTAAAGAGAAAATATAACAATATTGTATTGATCTCTTGCTATCTTATAACAAAACACGACTGCTCGTATCAGGGCAAAGCTCTGTATCTGATTGCCCTTTATTTCCGACTGCCCTTAAATTGGTCTCGGATAGTTTTTTGTAAACTAAATATTGGCACCCGTACCTAACAGAGGCTGTTTTTCAAGATAGAAATTTTTTTATAGATTATCCAGCCTAGTTTTCTCGTATTTTTTTTTGCAGAAATAATCTATTCTTTTCTAGTTTAGAAATAAACAGTTTCTGGGAAAAAATAACCAGAAATCAGTTCACTGCTCAACCGGAACGAGATAAACATGCTTCGAGTATACACAATAACAGTAGCAATTCAATGCAAATTTACACTTGTTATAAAAAGTGTTATTTTGACAAATCTATCAATGTTAGCGCAACTACCTAGAAAATTTTAAGTCAGGGTTCGACCCGCACCACGAGATTTTTCTCTTGCTAGAAATAGCCTAGATTTAGCTAGTTTTTGATCAGAATTAAGATGAGAAATAAAGAATTTTAAGAAAATCCCTGCTTTATATAAACATTTAAAAAAACATTTCTGACCAGAAATTAGATTAGATATAATGTTTTTCAGATCATAAAGAAAAAAATTTCTCGGTAAGGGCAAACTTTGAAGCTTATGTTGATAAAATCAAAAATTAACTGTTGAATTTTGAGTCGTGTATGGTTTGAGTTAATAAAACCAATTAGCTGCTTCAATTCAATTTGGAACGTTTTTATAGTGCGGGATAATAAAACAAACAGTTTTAGGAATAAGCAAAATTTGTATAAGCACGGAGCGCCTCATTCGCCTAATGCGCTTTCATCTCAGTTTAAATAATTAGAAATTTAATCATCGGAAACGAATCAAAGTCTCAAAAAAATATTTCATCTAAAATGTATTTAAATTTTGTTTTGAGAAACTGATTAAATTTGGACTTTTTTCTAAAGTTCATTTTTGTTCATGCGTCAAGTTATCCAAATCAGATCCTCAAAAAATATATAAACTGTCAAAAATCGAATTCAAAAAATTATTTGATTTTGCTATTGAGCGTTCGAAGCTTTGTTAAAAACCCTAACGCACTTTATCATGAACTTTGACAAGTTTGAAAAACAATTTTTTTTTGGTTATTTGAAACGATCTCTGAAGATTAAAAACCAACTATAAATGGAAACAACGAAAAATTGCCCGAACGTTTCTTCTAATCATCTTTCTCATTTTAAATCAATTAAGGGTAAAATATCAATTTCAAAAAAAATTCATGCGTCAAAATAATCCAAATCATAGTTTTACAATAAAAATATATAAAATACCAATGCCCACTGGTCGTATAGATTAATTTTTTTCTTCATGAAATGAAAAAAAATTTTCTTCAAAAAATAAAAAAACCATAATAATTTGATTTTGTTTTTGAGCTTTTGACGATTCGTTAAAAGCCCTAGCGTCAAAAACGTCTGTCTGATCGTATTTCAGCCTTCCTAATATCCGGCAACAACTACAAGGATTTTTAAATTATTTTTTTTTATTACTTAACTTGATTAGCCGTTAGCTTGCAGAAAACTGAAATTTAAAAGTGTTACCAAAAAAGGCAAAAAAGGGATCAGATAGTTTTTACAAAACTTTTATGTTCTTTTTTGTTGCTTGAAGATTCATTGGAAAAGAAACATGCCTGGAGAAAAATCTAGCTCTTGTAACTCTTAGAGGTTGTAACATTCTAGAATGGAGGTTAAGTTTTTAAATTACTTGTGTTTATTACTTCTCTCTCGTTTTTTTTTCTCTTCAAAATTGAATGCCTGATCATTTTTTCGTTTTGACTAGTTAAATTGCTAAAGAACTATAGAGTAAAAAGGTTTCTGTAGGGTTACTAAGATAGTTCAGAAGATCACTCCAAACATCTAACCACTGGGTAGTTTCACTCCCATCTATTTAGTCCAGTGCCGTGTAATTCAGAACATTTTAACGAATTTTGTGTTCAGATTGTCAGGAGGTGCGCTTTGTGTGCATCGCTGCTTTGCTTAAATAATCTGCTCTAGTTTTTTATAGAGTTCTACTCTTTTTGGCAAGCTCGCAACATGTTGGCGCGACAGCGATGACCAGCATTAAGTTGTAGTGTGAGAAGTTATATATTTTTGGGTTGCGTTATGACATATCAGTGTAAGGTTAATAAATAGGATTTAACTTGTCAAGGTTCTAGCTTTAGAAATTGAAATTATTAGGAATTAAAATGAAGATGTTAATTCAAATGTGGTGAAAATGCAGAATACCAGTCAAATAGAACGCTACTTCTAGATCTAAATTTTGATTCTTGATCTTGCTTTTTTTGCGTATTTAATTTTTGCTGCATCAAAGTCTGTTTTTTGAAAAGGGTTCCTCAAAATAAGAAGAATTTGAATCAAAAGAAAAAAGCTCAAATATTAATAGACATATGTATATCAACGTTTATAGTTTTTATTCGGATTTCCAATACTGTAGACAAGTTTTTCAGAAATTTGCGTATAAGCATATATTGTTCTTGGATCTCGGCTGAAAAAAAATTAGATATTTGTTAAAGATGTGTCCGTGGAATTCAGAAGCGAGCACACTTTTGTTCTTGTTATCAAAATTACTTTGGTGTGTTATTTAGAGAGCAACCTGTTTTCTTGTCCCAATCTAAAGACGATTCTTGCTCTTTTCTGCATTTAGAATGCGCAGTCCAAAAAAACTAATCCAAACCATTCCTCGTCAAAAAACAACATTCTTTTAAAGCGGTTCAACTTCTAATTTTTGTTATATAATGAACCGCTTCTAAGATGGCGATTTCTCTCCAATAGACGAACTGTCTTCTTTTTTTTGAAGTTTAAATTTAACCTGTTTTAGATGGCTGGTTTGTGTCTGACCTATACTGCAATTGCCATTCAACTGTCACCCCTATTGGAAGCCTCCAAGCAACAACAAAACTACCTAGCTATTAATACAAATGCAACAACTTCTAATGAAACGCTGCCGAGTACGCCTCTATGACAATTTTTTTTGATACTTTACAATTGAACTTGTCGATTTTAAATAGCTGACTGTAGATTATGATTGAGGAGAATATGAGTTTCATTGTGAAATTTAATCTTGAAAGTTTGATTATGATTCGCAACAAAACAAAAAGTGGACCAAATAAACAAAAATTTAATTGATTTCCGGTTAAGGACATCCAGATAGGCTTCGTCATTCCACGATGTTTAGCAAAAGATCTATATTTGTAATACATGGCGAAATGTGAGTCATATACTTTTCGTTCATCATAATTGTTAGTGTATAAATTTTCCGTAAATTTACCCTACAAAACAAGTTTGAAGCAAACTTCACAGGTAGCTGTGCAAATGGTTTGATGAACATGTTGCAAATGTTTGATGAACATATATTTCAAAAGTTGGAAATTTAATTAAAAAGCTTATCAAATTGTTTTTCATTTTTTCTGTAAAAAAAATCTGCTCTTGGAAAATCAAACACTTAGCAAAAAAATTTTACAAAAATGTATTTTATTTTATTTTTGATTAAAAAACTCTATTCACGTATGCTAGATATATAAAAAATCTGGAAATGCGAAAACATTCATTTTTACAGATCTTGAACTCGAGAAATTTTTACTTGACATGATTAGCTCTGACTCAGAGTTGGACATCTTTCAATCATATCTGATCAAATATGCTATAAATCTGACTAAAAAATATGAAAGAATGAAATCAAAACAATCTTTTAAAATCATTTGAAAGCTATACATGAATGATATAGTGTGAATGAATGGCTATTGTATTTCATTACAAAAAAATAAATTTTATATTCGATTTAATTAAATATTAAATCATTAAATCGCAGATATAATTAAATAATTCCCGAAAAAACTTTTGCACAATGCAAAAAATTGGCATCATAATGTTCGATGGAAAGCAACAAAAATGATAAAGCTGCACTATCAGAAATTTAGCCAGAGTTTTTAAATTGAAAAAATTGAATGAAAAAATTAGAAAACCGAACGAAATACTCATAGAAAAAATCAGTTATTTTTTTAATTTTGAGATTTACTATTGTGCTTTTTATTCTGCTTTTTTGCTACTAATTAATAATGACACAAGTTGTTTTGAAATGTTTTTTTTACTTCGAAATTTACATTTGGGCTTTTTATTCTGTTTTTTTACTTTTTATTCCGACACATTTTAGGATTTTTTTTGACAAAATCCTTATAAATCGAAATTTTTTGAAGTAAAAATTTCTATATGGGTTAAGCTGAAACAAAATCTTCGTCATTATTTCTCAAGTATTGAGAAAAATTTTTTGCTTGCCAACTTAGAGTATAACAAACAAACAAGTTTCTTTCCGAAGCTTTTAGATTCTAAAACACCAAATTTAAATAATTAAAACGTAATATTAAACAAATATTTGTATGCTTCTTTATCTGAAATTATAATAATTTTTATCCTTGCGCACCAAGAAGTATTCAAGTTTGTCCAACTAAGCGCAGTAAAACAGTGAAAACAAGTAGTTTTGAGAACTTTTATTGTTCCGACCGTTGAAAATGGGGAGGAACTTTGTATACGGGTGTGTTTTAGTTTTTTTTCTTTTTGTTTTCCACGCGAAACTAGCTACCACACGTAATCATCAGACTCGCGTGAGTGATATATCATATTAAAGCCCTTTCAGTCATGATTCGGCCAATTTTTAAAAATTTCGAAAATTTTTTTTTCAATGTTTGAAAAAAAAACCGGTTTGAAATTTTTATTTTTTGTCCTAATTCGAGCAAATAAAGCAAGCGAGCAGGCTTACAACAGCTTAATTAGGAGAAGTTCAAAATTTAAGTACTGAAAACTTAACTTTCAGCAAGTAAAATGTTTGTTTTTTGAGTTTTGTATAGTTCCATTCTGGGAACCAAAAACTTCAAAAAAAATTGGAAAATTTTCTGCACAATATTTGGAAAAAAAATTTTTTTTTTAAAACCTTTGAAGTTTTTTTAGGATGGTTTTCTAGTCAATTTTCTAAAAATGTTTGTATCTTATTTGCCTGTTTTTTTAAAAGTTTTTTTAAAAAACTATGGTTGTAACATTCTGTGCTACTTGCACAGTAACCGGCTATCTTTGTTCAAAATTTCAATTTGGTTTCAGGTGTTGCAGATTTATTTTGCAGACTAAAGCTGACAAAAAATCTAGCATGCAGGTTTTAATTCCACAAATTTCTCGATGACTTGTACGCTCAAAACAAACAACTATTTTACGCATTAAGGCTGGCCTGTATTTTCATGTTTTTGACTTAATTTTGTTCATGCTAAGTGTAGTAAATTTCAAGTCTATTCCTGGTTTCAAAAATCAATAAACATTTTTTAAAATACGGTACAAAACTAAAGCAGATCTTAACTTGAAAATTAAACAGATAAAAAAGTGTTAAAAACCTGATTCCTAAATAAATTAGCTTGAACTAAACAAAATTATTTCACAACTTCTGAACTCCACTAAAAAGAATTTTATCTGTCATCTGTTTCTTTTGCTTTTTAGAAAACTAGCTGTGTTGCCGTTTGTGGCCCGGTACTTTAGCCATTAAACCAGTTAAAAACTTTTAACGTAACTATTAAAATTTCTTGGCTTTTCTCTAGTCTCTTTCGTTGATATTAGCCGGAATTCGATTTAAGGAAGCCCATTTAAAAGAATGCTGACGTTTTAAACTTCAGTAAAAATGACAAGGTGAGCAAGTTAACAGTTGCTCACAAAAATGCATACATGCGTTTTGCCGTATATACCAATATCAACCAAAAGAGGCGGAAAACTGGAGAAGAGTCAAACTTTTGAGCCTTGTGAGAAAATTTTGAATTGAAGTTTGAGAGAAAAAGTAAAAAATAATTTGATTGAATTTTTTATGTTATCTCAACGTATAAAAATTGTATGTAATCTAAGCTCACATTGAATGTATGTTATCTAAAATTGAATGTTGTGGCGTACCAGTGACAGATTATCAAAGAAACGATGATAAACAATAGATTAAATAAGGAAACTGAAGACTACATGGCCAAGAAAGAAGTGCATTTGGAAAAAGAAATGCTGCTTATTTAAAGGTGAACCTTTATCTCAATTTCAAGATTCAGAAGTTTTCAGTTTCACTGATTCTGAGCTTTTTTGTTACTGTACAGGAAACAAATTTAAGAAAAACAGACGTGTTCAAGTCTTAGCATCTAATGGAAACTAATTGCAAAGGAACCGTAGGAGTCGCATAATTCTGTTCCTTGCCCCCTTTTCCCTTTTTTACCCGGTATTCGAACAGGGTCAAAGTTCCATGGTCCTGGGAGGAGTCCGTTGTGAAAAAATGCTGACACACACAAATTGGTTTATTTTAATATAATTATATACACACCCCCAAATATAGACAGTAGCGACACTTCAAGAAATCTGGAAGATTATTTAGAAAACATATTTTGCGCTGGATTTGGACCTGAGCAAAATGAGACCCGGTGGCAGCTAAAATAGCAAAATATAGAAGCCTTTTAAAAATGCAGTATCTTTTCTACTTTCATTGTATGCGACCGACATGAGTCTAATTCAGAACGAATGATTCGAGTGTCTAATTTTGTGTACTTCTCAACAGGCTGTTCTGCATATCAACAAAGTTAAACGACGTTTTTTTTAAATTTGCCCTAAAAATTCATTTTTAAACCAGCTAGATTTGAAGAAAATCAATTTTGAATAAAATTCATGACAAACTTTTAGCCACATCCGTTAAGAACTGAAAAATGCTCGCAGCTGTTTTTTCCCACAATCAAAGAGCCATCAAACTGACTGTGTTTTCTCTAAGACCATTTATAAAGAAAGAGAAGGTTGTATAGCCTTTTTAGCCACCCTTTATAAGCCTGGTCGTGGTCTGTGACTTATTTGTGACTACTAGCAAACTCACCGCGATAAGGGTTCCGCGGCCTTAGTAACATCAGAATTTAATAGTAGCGGGCTAAGTCTAAAAATGCGGAATTTCGCTCGTGATAGCGTAAAATCTATTCGAAATTGTTTGGAACTTTGTCACGATAGTCTGGAGATAAGTAGCAGACTTAAAACCCGGGTCGAGATCCCGCTCAAAAACCGTTCAAGATTTGAGCGGTTTGAGCGGTTTTCCAGCAAGATTTGAGCGGTTTGAGCGGTTTGGGCGGTTTAAGCGGTTTTTTTGGAAAAACCGCTCAAACCGCTCAAATCTTGCTTAGAAAACCGCTCAAAAACCGCTCATTTCTTGCGGTGATTTTTGAACGGTTTTTCAAGCAAGATTTGAGCGGTTTTTGAGCGGTTTTTGAGCGGTCTTCCTTGGTTTTGAAAAGGGGGGACTGGAAAAGAGCCCAAACTTTTAATGTTTGGATCAATGAGTTGACAAAAAACCAATTTCTACCTCCCACGCCCCCCTCCCCATACCAGCATCATCGAAGTCGGCTCTTTTTCCTCCCCCCCCCCACCTACAAATTTTTACATGTAAATTTGTTGACTACATTGTTGAATACATTGACTACTCGTAAAACCACTCGTTACACTAATATATTGAAGGTCGTGTGAGGTGGGGGGGGGATGGGAAGGAAAAAGAGCTTCGAAGACTTTTAGAGATGCCAATAATGACGTCAAATGTTTTGCGCTTCAGAATGTTAGTCTATGTTTCAGATGTTATTTAACAGTTTTAGGGCAGCATGGCCTAACGGATAAGGCGTCTGACTTCGAATCAGAAGATTGGGGGTTCGAATCCCTCGGTGGTCGACTTTTTATTATTAAATCTTGCGCGGTTTTTTTAGATAAACCGCTCAAAACCGTTCAAATCTTGCGCGGTTTTTGAGCGTTTTTTTTAGATAAACCGTTCAAAAACCGCTCAAACCGCTCATTTTGAAGCAAGATTTTGAGCGTAATTGTCTAAAAAAACCGCTCAAACCGCTCAAATCTTGCTTCAAATTAGGTGAAAAATCTCGACTCGGGAAGCAAAATGTGA